AAGGAAAAAAATAAATCCAAAAATAAACCAAAAAACAAGAGCCATAGATTCAACCAAAATCAAAGGTCAGATTTTGACCACAGACCATATGTAGAAACATGACCTCATATGATCCTTTGTCTATATATATATATATATATATATATATATATATATATATATATATATATATATATATATATATACGAAAACCATTTTGAAGCAGGAAGAGATATACTTAGGGGACTCTAGCTTTAAAATCAGAGGTAGACTCAGCAAGTAAGGGTAAGCACATTCAATCATGATAAACAGTTATACAGAGACAACATTATAAAGAACATGTAGCTAAGTTAACAGTTTACTTTCGAATTATCCACATCATCATTCAATCATCATTCATTCGTCATTCAAGTCACCATTCAAATCATCATTATTTAAATCATCATTCGAGTCACATAAGCACACTTTGGTGGCGTCACGGGACCAATCACATGCCCCGAACATGCGGGTTAGTGCGTATAGCACTAACATGGCCCCGCAGCACCCTACCTCATACCGCAGGATGAAGGGGTTGATCGCAACCAACTGTACAGACCGCCGAAAGCTCGACAGCGGATCACAGCCCTACACACCGCTGACGCGCTCAGTCGGTGGACTGCGATCCTCTTTTGGGGACTACGACCCTACACTCCGTTACGGGAGGGGTTATATGTGCACCGTTTTGATAATTGAGGGGCAACATTTACACCACTCATAATTCAGGGGTGACATTGATAATTGGCATATTATAGAGGGCCATTTTTTACAATTTTCCCAAAAAAAAAAAAAAAAAAAAAAAAAGAGACTTTCACATGGTAAGGTGACATTGGGATGAGGATTACCTCCTCTCTTCTCGTGTTGAAATAGGAGATCAATTCCCACGCTTCTGCCCATAACCCATAGTAAGGTGAACCGGGGTGCAAAGGATTTTATCAATTCCCACGCTTCTGCCCTCCTATGGCGCTGGGAGTAGCCATAATAACATGTCATTCTCCACCTCGGAAAACTGGACATATTTACCTCAATATCAATATGGTTTTTGGAGTAGCTCAATAGACTTGCCGTATTATTCTTCAGCCACAGCAGTGCTAAACCACCACCACCCTGCGGTGTCGGATCAACATAAAAAAGACCATCAAAACCAAGAGTGACACGAATTCTTTCAGCATGTATTCGTTGCACCATGGTTTCCATAAGAAAAATAAAATCAGGCTTCTTCTGGGACGCAAGGTCCGTTAATTCTCGAACTGTTCGTGGATTGCCCAAGCCACGACAGTTCCAGCTGATGGTACTCATAATGACGGGCGGGTCTGGGAACCAGAACCCGCCATGGACAAGTTTTGTTGGATCTCTGTCATAACCACATCCCCACCAACATTCACATCGCCCCCATCATTCAGCTCGACCCTTCTCCTCTTAATCACAGCCGTGACTATATCACTTTCCCCTTATTCACGTGAAGGCTCAGATGCCCCACTCTCTTGCCCATCAACCCGTGGCCTAGGCACAAGATCCGATCGTGTCCCCGCCATAGGATTACCATTCATGTCAAGAAGCCATGAAGCACCCACTTTCCGCGGCCCCTTACTAAATCCAGCACGTAAACTTTCATCATATGGATATTGTTCAATCGGTACTCCCGCATCTCGCGCCTTTAAGCAATACTTATGTAGATGCCCCATCATACCACAGAAGTAGCAAAAGTTGTGTAGCCTTTCATACTTGAAATTAACCCAACAAGTCGTTTTATCCCTCTTCATTAGTTTCATACGCCGTTTTAGCGGCTTCAAGACAGAGATTGAAACCCTAATCCGGTAGAACGTCTTCCAGGGTGCATTAGCAAATCTATCATCAATCTTAATAAAAACTCCCAAAAAGTTTCCTACCTGCTCCAAAATAAGATCAGAAGTATAGCCCAACGGCAAGTCATGCACTTGTATCCACATATCAACCGTGTTCAAAGGCACCGAGACCGGTATCTCCCCATCTTGAATTTGCTTGCAAACGAATGTGTGATTCTCAAAGGACCATGGACCACCATCAAGAACCAACTGAATATCCGTTTCATGAAAGAACACAAAGAGAAAAAGGCCCGGTTGCAACTCCGAGACTCGTACTCCCTTCACCGGCTGCCATACCAAAGCCATGACCTGGCTCATAAACTCCGCCTTCACAAGCTTAGTAGTCAAGAATCTACCCACCAGGCGCCATGTTGGTACTGTTTCGGCAGGTTGCTCGTCGTCCTCCTCCACCGTCGGCACGAAGACGTCGTCTTCCTCATCGTCTAGGGTTACATCCGCCCATCGCCGGCCCAAACCAGCGACCGCCTGCGTCACTGCTGCCTGCTCCATGCCTTCTGTCGCGTTACGCCGGTGTAGAAACCGGATGAAACAATAGAATTCACCGGAAAATTCTTGAGTATCAAGAAGAGAGAGGAAACCCTAGCAAAACCCTAGAGAGAAAAGTAGACACTACTGGAATTTGATTATATAAAAAATATTCTATTGGAATTTGATCTTAGCGCCAAAATGACTTAATTATACAATTCTATTCATTTTCTAGAAAATAAACCAAACACACCAAGTTTTTCAAAATGCAACCAAACACGGGAAAGGAAAATGTTTTCTGGAAAATGACTCATTTTCCAGAAAACATTTTCCATAAGTCATTTTTCTACTTTCCAAATAGACCCTTAATAGATAGATTCCAATGAGAAAGTAACTCCTACATTAGTTTTAATGAACCAATTGATTCAAAGCTATTACATTGTAAAGAATACACACATTATGTCACATTGGCCTACATACGCACAAGTTATTTCTGAAGAAAAATTTTCATATGATTTTACTAAGAAATCTTATGTGTGTGTGTCATGAAAGACCCCAGGCACCAAACTTCGAAGGCAGTTATTGGGCAATGAAGAGATAGCAAAAGAGCTCCATTGTACATGGAATTTGGTGCTATGATCAAATTTGGGGAAAGTTAAGCGAAAAGTTAATTTCTGAATAGTAAATGATTAACTCAAGAAAGTTAAATTTGAAAGGTTGCGGGGGAAACATTCGAAAGGTTAATCATGAGAAGTCAATGATTACCTTCTCGCATCTATTGTTCACACATTCTCTGAGTAAACAGTAAACATCCTCGAATACTAAAGTTACAAGAAGAATGTTACCAAGGAAAGGAGTCCTAAAAAGGCCTAGGCATGTTGCACATATCAGAAAGTAAGGAGCATACGCAAAAGGCAGTATCAAACGGTTGGAAATCAAAAAACTTCTATAACGCAAACTGAACAACAGACGATTGCTATTAAAACTAAAGTTCAAAATGACGTCGTATAGGACCAGGGTCCACAGTATAACAATCGTTATATCCTGCACCACGGCGCGCGCAGCACTGTGCGCCCCGCGCCTCCCAAAACGACGTCGTTTTGCGAGGCGCGGAAGGGAGTTGACGTGATTATATGTATTTGTTTACATCATTATGTATATTTGTTCATACAATTATGTGTATTTTTTTTTATACAGTTATGTGTGTTTATTTATACAATTATGTGTATTTTTTTTTTTTGGTAGAGATGTGTATTTTTTTATACAGTTATGTAAAACGACGTCGTTTTGCATCAAGGCGCGGATTGCAATGTGCGCCCTGGTGCACAATATAAATTGCCCACAATATAAGGATTGGGTCATGTCTAGCCAGGGCGACCGCACAAGGCCCCCAATTTTTTGGGGCCTAATTTTTTAAAAATTATTTTAGATATAATCTATTATTTTTTATACTTGATAATTATTTATTTTTTTTTGAATTCATAGATTGTTCTTAATTGTAATTGAAAATAAAATTTTAGAAGTAATAATTGACATCGAAATTTTGGTGAATAATTTTGTATTTAAATATGAACAAAAAATTGCACTTTTAAGTTAACTTTTGAATTGTATTCTTTCTTTGTTAAATTTTTATGCATTATATTTGGACAAAAAATTCTAATTACATTTTTATTTTTGTTATAGAATACAATAACTTGAGTCCAAATGGATTTGAACTCAATTACCACAGTTATAGAGATTTTCTAGATAATCTAGCTTGTATCTTCATCTTCCAGAGGTCTTTTGAGATTATGTTCCTTACCTTTATTAATAGAAATCTCTATCACTATAACAAAATTGAAATATTATAGCAAAATTGAAATATTAAAAAATTCTCTCTCCCTAGGTTCTTGTCTCTCTATTATTGTCTTTGCAATTTACTCTATTATTAGGGGTGTCCAATCGGTAACCGTTCGGTTAACCGAGCCAAATTAACCGAACTTTTTAAACCTTTAACCGTTAACCGAACCGAACCGAAGTTTGTGTTACCGAATTAAACGAATAAAAAATTTTTAGTTAATAGGTTGGTTAACCGAAGATTTTAAAGCTAAAATTTAAAATCTTAAAAATCACCTAAAATAATAAATCCAATTAAAATAAAATACATATCATAATAAATTCATCCCTAACTTCAAATCTTCAATCAAAAATCCAAAGTCTAAACATTCATAGGCCATTATATATTTATATTAGTATTACACAATTACTCTTTATATTTATTTATTTATTTATTTATATATATATATTAAAAATTTCTGTTAACGTTCGGTTGATTTGGTTAACCGACCTTTCAAACCGAATTAACCATTAACCGAAGTTTGAAATTCATTTAACCATTCGGTTCGGTTAAAAAACGGTTAACCAAACTTTGTCGGTTCGGTCGGTTAACCAAAAATTCTTCGAAGTTTGAACATCCTTATTTATTATATTTAGATTCTATCTCGGAACAAAAACAATGAAGGTCCAAATTAAAATACTCCGAATACAGGTAGGTCCAAATTAAAATACTCCATATTAGACAGGCAAGGCACCTATTTTTAATGGAACTGCTTTTACTATCACTCAATAATACTTGCAATGATATGGTAATAAGACACAATTAAAAGTGAAAGAGTATTGAATAGATAAATATAACCTTATAATTTAAATCAAATAAGACTATCAAGTCAAATCATTTTCAAGAATCACAAGTGACATGATAAAAGTTTATTTGAAGTGAATACTGAGCCAGAAGAGTTGAACCTCAGTTGAGTGTAGGATCATCACTCATCAGCCGCAGCCAAAAACTTTATGCCAAATTCACTCTGGTGCGTAAGCTCTCCAGCAGCAAACGACTGGTTCTCGCCCAAGTGGATACATCTCCTTAAGATTGTGAATCCACAATATTCTACGTCATAAACAGTAACGCCATTCATGACTGCAGAGAATACAGAGCCTACTCCCTCCCCTGGGTGAGCACAAAAGGCTAGTTAAACATTTGCACAAGATTTTTGCAGAAATCACTCTCCAAATCACAAAAAGCATTTGTGTTATGTTGAGAAAGGGACGAGTAAAACGGTCGACCTAAGCTATAAAACTTACCATGTGTCACAAGCAACAAGTTCTCAGATGGATATTTATCAGCAAGTGCCTTAACAACCTCCATGTACCGAGCCCTTGCAGCTGGCGCGGTCTCTTCCCACTCTGGTAACTATAGTTATACAAGCAGAAGCTACTTAAACCTATAACACAACATAGAGTGTGGACGGTGATTTCATCGAGTGGAGTGGAACATACCTTCTCGTAGACTCGTTCTGCACTGTGATCTATAGTTCCAGTTGGTAACTGAGCTTCACATTCAGAGATATTGAATTTAAAATCTCCATCCTTTGGAGCTACATTAGCTCTTATTGCTTGTCGGTTCAACATTTCACATAATCCTATTTCAATAGAAACCTGTGAAATGCACAAGAAAATAAAGTAGACTAATTGACATGAAAGTGATAACAAAAAGCAGCTGCATACTCAAACTTCTGATGTTTCTTCAGAAAATTTATGAGTTAATACCAAATTTAGTCATCGACTATAGTGGTTTTTCTCGATTTAATCCTAAACGACTTTTTGTGCTTAATTAGGCCTTCAACTTTGATAATTTCACCTAATTGAGTCTCTGTTAAGATAGCTTGGTAATTTCACCTCTATTAATATCTAATTTTGTCCTCGACTATAGTAGTTTTACCCAAGTTAGTTTTCGACTATAGTAGTTTTATCCAATTTAGTCATGGACTATAGTGATTTTTCTCGAGTTAGTCCTTGATTCTAATAACTCGGGACTCAATTAGGTAAAATCATTGAAGTCGAAGAATTAATTAAGCACAAAAAGTTATTTAAGACTAAATTGAAAAAAAAAAAAAAATCACTATAGTCAAGGCTAAATTGGATATTAACTAACTCGAAAATTTATACACCCTTTAGATTCTTCAGTAGTCTAATTAGTTCAAGTTCTAATAGTGACCAAGCTAATCCAACTTCATAATTATCCTGTAACTTTGAAATTTCAACATTTGATGACTATATTGTTTGCAAACAAATCGAGCCTAATAAACATCTGCATAACAATCAGTTCTTATTTTTTCTGATAGGAGTTATATGGCTTACAAATCAAAGATGATCTTTCGCAATTGCAATTTCTTCTCCACATTTACCTAATAAAGAAGACAAGTTTTGCCTTGTTTTTTCCTCTTTTAGTTGCTTCGTTTACTTTGAATCCAGTTAGTTATACATGAACAGGAAAAGCATACACAATTCATCAACAAGCATTAAAACAGTAGAATATTTAAGAATTGATGCATTTACCATAATACGTAGAGGAAGATGGTATATGTATAGATAGATAGATAGATAGATAGGGGGGGAGAGAGAGTAGAGACCTTGATTTTGGAAAGATCGGCATCGGAAGAGAGATTATTGGGATCGGCGACGGTGCAGAGAGCTCGGACCGCCTCGGATGCGGTCTGGAGGCAGCGAAGAAATGGAGAAACGAAGGCGCGGTTGATCGGGGCCCCGAGATTTTGGCGGAGGCTCTGGCCAGTTGTGAAGGCTCGGGTCTTGCCGTCTTGGTGGAGCGGCGGATCCCAGGGCCGTTGGGACTGGGTAATCCAGAGCGGGTCAACGTTGTCGAGGCGGTCTCCATGCCTCATGACGACGATGTACTGGTAAACTTGCTCTTTCTTCTCCATCTTCGGCGAACGAGCAGTGAGAGAAGAAATTGAGGCGCTTTTAAGACTTGCGGTCCGAACAATGTCTCCGTTAATATCATCATCGTCCTTGAAATTGAGCAATATGCGATGATTAGTGTGCGTCGTCACGTTGAGTCTAGGAGCAATTGCCCTCAAAAGCCGCTTCTTTAGGGATGTTTGTTGAATGGTTTTCACCGGAAACAAACATCCGGCGTTCATCGGTCGTCGTCGTTCAACTACAACTACTACAATACAACCATAGCATGCTTCACCAATGCAATTTGTAGTGTTTTTGCTCTTCTATTGGCCTTGAAAGGTCAAGGAAGAAACATGGAATTTGTTGTATTATATTGAAGTGTTTGATAAATAACTGTTAGTTTGATTGGGTTAATTGGTTTGAATAGTTGATAGTATTAGCTGAATTAACTGATTATAAAAAAATGTTTGGTAAATTAGTTGTTAACTGATAACTAATTATATATAAAAATAACTTTATAAAATAACTGATGAAAAAAGTTAATGTGAACAATTTTTTGTTTGAAGGAATAAATTATTACAAAAGTTAATTAATGCAAAGAAATGAAATGCTTTGCAATTGCAGAAAACAAAGCCTAAGGACATCTCCAATGGCCAAAAATGAGGGGAGAAGGGTTGGAGTGAAGAAAGTGGAGGTTAGATTTCTCCGGAGAAATCTTACACGAGTGCTTGTTGGCCACTCGCCACATTTACTCACAGATGGTGGAGAACAGCTATTCCACAAAAGGATTCCAATAAATGCTGCAGATCTCACAAAAGCAAGAAAATTGGTCCCAACTTTACCACGAATCGCAAACAGTTCTACAGTGGATATATTTATCAGCATGTGCCTCCACAAGTTCTATATACCTATACCTTGCCCTCTTACTCTTGGCCAAGTCTCTAGCCACTCGCCCGGGCAGCTATAGTTTCACATGTAAAAGTGAACCCCACACACCTTGAATACCCCTTTCAAACATAGAGAATTGATTTCTCAGAATACCTTGTTATATATACACTATTTCCGCAGTATGATTTGCAGTCCCTGCTGGTAACTGAGCTTCACACTGAGATATCAAATTTAAAATCCCATCCTCTGAGGGTGCAACTGTTCTTATGCTTCTATGTTCAAGACTCCAGACAATCCAAACTCAATACAAACCTGCAAAATGCACAACAAAATTGGGGGGACAAATATGAAAAGGATAATACAAAACGTTCTATATAGATTAAAGGAACCAAGGATGAAAAGGGAAGGTAAGTTAGTAACACACACAAAGCTGTGAGCTTTGTCAGTTGAGAAAAACTTAGGAAGGCCAATTGGATCTCCCTTTGTCAGAGTTCTAGTATCCCCAAATTCTAAGCAAGATCAAGTTTTCTCTGTACTGGAACCTTATTAGTTAGGCATATCCTCCAAGCAGCCTGGGTACCTGTCATGAATTGAATTATTTCAAGATTTATCTCTTTATTTTCCCTAACAGAGCTCCATCACACATTTTAGGAAAACTTTTTCATAACAATTACACTTTGTGATTACTTTCTAATATATATGAGTATATGACGTTCAGTGGAAGTTTGCTTGAATCTCATAATAAATTAAGATTACTATGCAAGACTAGACAGAGTCGACAAGACTTTCACAAGGACAACAGCATATCAACTGCTCTCTGTTGCTAAGAAGGATACCTTTGGTAAGATCCTAGCTTTAAAAATAAAAAAAATAATAAAATAAAATAAAAAAGTAATGATAAAGGTAAATCAGGAATAGTGCGCCCTTCGTTAGACCTTTCAGTGATTTGGTCTTTCCCCTACTCAAAAAAGTAGGTTTGCTAAACTAGATAAGAATTTGAAAACTACCATGATGGAATCTTTTTTATCTAGGATTCTAGGTTACATCAAGATCCTATTAACATGATTGGAGGAACTTCAGCAAGAATCTAAAATCATTCTTGAAGTCACCAAGCACTACACAAGTAGTATTCAACCAGGTACAATCTGATACACACCCAAAGGAATGGTTGTTTACTCATGCAAAAGGAATGAACGCAAGAATGGAAATTAGGCAAAAAAGGAATGAATGCAAGAATGGAAATCAGGAAAATCAAAATGCACAAATCAGGAAAAGAGCCTATCTTAAGGCATTAGACAAAATCAATTAGAGACACAATTATCTCCTTTTCTATATTTATTTATTTCTTTGCAGTATAAATTGGAATCTCTAGATGAGAGAAAGGCATCCAATCTTTTATCTTTAGTCTTCAAGCTTTAGTAGCTGGGCAAGAGCCTAAAACTCTTGTTGGGGAAAGTCATAGTAACAATCCTATTTTTTTATTTAAGTTCACAATCAATAAAGGCACTTCCTTATTCTTTTCTCTAACACAATCAGTCAACATCAGAATTACATTGTTTCAAATAATCCATAAAAAAAAACTAGTCTCTATAAGTCTGTAATGTGTTCTAGGCAGTACAACTCAGCTATCTGTAATTAAATTATTAATGTGGAGAGGAGAGCAAAGCATACTCCTAACTCCTTTAACACTTCATTCATCTTAAGTCCATTTCACATTTGATTTCATCAAGGTTACAAGAGGTGTATTAAATCAAGACTTTTTGTGGACTTTTATAGACTTCAAAAGTGAAAATATTCAATTCAAACTTTTAAGGAACCTTTAGAAGTTCATTGACATAATGATATTCAATTTATACTTTTAAAGAGTTCTTAAAAGTTAGGTAGTATTTAATTCATACTTCTAAAAACTTTTTACTATTGGTATTCAAGCTTCTATAAACCCTTTCATAGTAAAACTTTTATATCCCTCAATCCCCAAATTTATAAATTTTCACTTTTACTCACATAAATATTCCATGAAATCTTGTATGAGTTTTGATGAAATAAAGAAATCAATGGTGAACCACAAAAGCATAGTGCCACAGGCCACATAGGGTGGGGTTGGGTGAAGTCTCAGTGCTTACTTCCTCCATGTCCCCTAATTGCTTCCTAGGAAGGGAAATTTTTTATGAATGCAAAGAAATTTTAAAATTAATTAAAATTTGATGAGATTATATAAAAATTATTTAGAATTCATAAAATTCTTCTCAGTTTCTCAGTAAATGACCAAACAAATATACCCACGCATTAACACTTGTAAGCAAAAACATGATAGAAATATATAATTTATCATCGAATCTATCCATATGTGTACTAAGCACTGCAGCCTAGAGTGTTTGTGAGCTGAAAAACTTACCATTAAAATAACCTTGATTTTGGAAGGATGAATAGCGAAAGAGTCGGGGGAGAAGACGTTGAGGTTAGTGGCGACAGCGCAGAAGGCATGGAAGATCTTAGAGGCGGTCTGGAGGCAGCAGATAAAGGGGAGACGAAGATCCGGTGATGAGGAACGTGAGATGGTGTCAGAGGCTCAGGCCGTTGCAAAGGCCCGGATCTCGCCCTCGTGATTCAACGGCCAATGGCCACCGATGATCCACAGCGGAAAAACGTCATCGATCAGCTCCCCATGCCAGATAACGATGACATTTTGGTATACCGGCTCTTCTTTGGCGTCGGGAAGCACCATTTTCAGGTGAATGGAGAACAGATGAAACAAAGTCAACGCAGTATGGCTCCGCGACTGTATTTCCTAGAGAGCGTTTGGTTGGGACTTGGAGGAAGGAGAATAAAGTAGAATTCAAATTACATTATTTGATAAGGAAGAGTGAAGCAATAGAATTATTTGAATTAAAAAAAAAAAGTGATATAAAGATTAAAATGTCATTGTGTAATAGTAATAATAAGAAAAAATTAAACTTTTTGTCTCTATGTTATACAATAATTATAGAATTCGTCCCTTAGAATTTGTCATTCTCACTTTTGTTTCTAAGTTATCATTGACGTTACACTTTTTGTCCTTTAACGAACAAAACATCAAGGACGAAATTTGCAACTTTAGTATTGATACGGGGTATAGCTTGATGTATATTGCATGTACCGTGTATGTATTAAAATTGTATGATGAAGTATGAAGATCGGGAAATTCTGCTAAGTGTATCTCTTTCATTCAATATGTAGATAGAGTTGTACATTAAAGAGAGGGAGTAATGGAGAGGGAGAAGAGAAGGAACTCCCAAAATGAAGGGCCAAAGCCCTTTATATAGGCCCAAGCATCGACGGGTTTAACTTCGACCCGTTGACTATGACCACGATCCGAACCGTTTGACCCCAACCCGACTAAAAAATGAGAGTATGGACGTACAGGGAGGCAAAACCCTAGGTATATTCCCTATCAAGTAGCCACCAAGCCCGTGCCCTGACGTCGAGCTAAAGAGGAAGGGTTCGGGCTGGAAAACCTAACTATACAATCCGTGACTTACGCTGGTTGCCTCGTTACAAACCTCAGGCTAAGAAAAAACCTAGTGAAAAAAAATTTTAGCTAAGGAGAAAAGAGCACAACCTTTAAGAACAGTCTTGCGGGCTATAAGGGGTTGTCTGAACCTTACCAATCTAAAGATCAGATTTGCTAGCTATGACCGGGAGGTCAAACTAATTTGCGATCTAGAGATTTAATTTTACTGGTCTAGCAACCGGATTGTTAGCTATGACCGGGCGGTCGAATTAATTGCGATCTAGATATCTAATTTTACTAATCTAGGGATTGGATTTGCACATGGTTCGGGAGGTCAAATTTTACCGATCTAGCAACCAGATTGCTGATTATGACCAGGAGGTAAAATTTTACCGATCTAGCGACCGGAATGCTAATTATGATCGGGAGGTCAAATTTAATTGTGGTATAGAGGCCCCGATTTGACTGATCAAGGGATTGGGTTTTAGTCACGATCTAAGGATCGAACTTTAGCACGCTTTAAGAGATCGAACTATACCGATATAGGGATCGGGTTACACCAATCTAAAGATTGGATTTACTCACGATCTAAGGATCGAAACTGACCAACCAAGAGATCGGGTTTGCGGGGAGACCTAATGATCAAGTCTTACCCATCAAGAGATTAGTTTTATTCACAGTATAGGGACCTCAATTGATCTTATTGATCATAAGTGGGAATGGTTTTCCCGATGCCCTTTCACTCGGGCTAACTGGTTGTAACTGGTTTGAGCTCGGTCAAACCTCGACCTAGATTACTTGACTACAAGATCGTTCTTAGCCAATCGCGCTTGGTTGGTTTTGGATTATCACATTAATCATTATGATGGGTTTTTGAAAACTAAAAATTATTCGACCGGGATGATTCCCCCAATTTGCACTCGATTTACGAATCGCGAGTCCAAGGCGGATGGACATTAGGAGAGCCTAAGGTCTAACGATAGCGAGATTCGTTCTGAAATACAATAATCAGCTGAATAGGGAGGTTCCCCTTTTACGCTCGATTTACAAACAAAGAGCCCCCGAGCGGAGGGGCGCTAGGACACCCGAAGGTCTAACGATAACGAGACCGGGAGGATCACTTTGCTCGGGAAGCGCATTAGCGTACAAGCTCCGTAGACCGAGGGAGTATGCTCGGTTTACAAACCGAGAGCCTACGAGCGGAGGGGCGTGTAACACCCCACTTTTCTTAACACTAAGCCACAATTACTTAACTTTCAAAGATAAACTTAAAGGTTTAAATGAAACATCCGACAAGGGTGTTACCGCCACAGTCACCACCCACGGTAACTGCACAGGCTACAAAAAGGGAATCTAACTGGAGTCAAGCTCAAATAAACTACAAGATAAATTTAGGGAACGAAGCCCCGGTGTTCAACACCAACAAAAGATCAAGTGATAGCTAAACATCAGAGTTCAACAGATTCTACACTAAAATCTAACTACTCAAAGTCTACGCACTAAACTAGCTTGTGTGCGCTCAAACACTGGGCCCACCTGAAAGGGGTTAACAAACAACAAGTAGAAAACAAACCCGTGAGCACGAAGCTAAGTATAACAACACTCAACCCTGTAAAGTACTACAATATATACTTTTGGAAAACATTTGTCACATTCACTTAGATCAAGTATTCTCAATCACTTAAGCAACATTTAAACATGCTCAACAGGGTTTCTACATGCTTGCAACCTAATTATCAAATAGGCATACTTTCTCAATTATTTAGCTTATCAACAATCTCATGTTTTCACATACATATCTTATCATGGCGATATACACAAATCATGCTCAACTGAGGGTTAATAATATACTTTAGCTTTAACAAGCAATCTCATGCTAACATATACTTCACAAACAATCTTATATCATCAAATATCTCAATAAGCGATCTTATGTCATCATATAACTCAGTAAGCAATCTCATGTTATCATATATCTCAATAAGCAATCTCATGCTATCACATAATTCAATAAGCAATCTCATGCTATCTATCACAGAACTCAATAAGCAATCTCATGTTATCATACAACTCAATAAGAAATCTCATGCTATCATACAACTCAATAAGCAATCTCATGCTATCATATACTCAATAAGCAATCTCATGTTATCACATAACCCAATAAACAATCTCATGCTATCACATAACTCAATAAGCAATCTCTTGCTATCATACAACTCAATAAGCAATCCCATGCTATCATACAACTCAATAAGATATCTCATGCTATCATATACTCAATAAGCAATCCCATGATATCATATAACTCAATAAGCAATCTCATGTTATCACATATCTCAATAAGCAATCTCATGCTATCATATATCTCAATAAGCAATCTCTTGCTATCACATATCTCAATAAGAAATCTCATGATATCATATATCTCAATAAGCAATCTCATGCTATTACAAGTGAATGAAAGACAATATAATGTCTTGCTTCTTATCTTACTTTCATGCAACACGTGCAAATCATTTAATCATGCAATTAGATTAACATGATGCTTTAGTATAAGTATAGATAGATATACATATACACTCTTTCTTTGGTAATAAGGAACACTTATTCAGTGGAGGTTTCTTAGAGTCACAATGACTCGCTTTTCTTTACTTTCTCTAGAGTCACATTGACTCGCTTTCTTTAGAGTCGCAATGACTCGCTTTCTTTAGAGTCGCAATGAATCGCTTTCTCTTTTTACTTATACTCGTGGGCGAGGTAGGAACTTCACCATAATGTGATTGGACCTATCTGGGCTCGGCATCTAGCCGGCCTAATACTCATCTCGCCTCTCTTGGTTCTTTTCTCAAACTCTGTGGAATCAGGTATCGAACTCTTAGTGTGCATAACCCCTGACCAGGATTCCAAACATGTCGGGCAGTTTCAACCTAGTAACTCGGGAATATCGACCTCGTTACTTCATATTGGATCGCAATGTCCGTTTCTTTCTTTACTTTCTTTCTTTCTCTTTTCTTCCGAAAGGACATAGTCCTAACAGGCCTCCAAAACCTCAAATTATTCACACTAGATACATATAGATATAGCTCATGCAACAACTTTACTTATGCAAACTTATGCACATAACTTCTCAACAACTTCTCCTTTCTCACAAATTGGAAGTCAGTTATCATGCAACTTCTCAATGCAACTAGATAATGATTTTCCAAAATAGATATAAGTTTTGAAAGAATACTTAGGCTTACTTAGAGCCACTTATGCACTTTAGTTCATGATATGCTAAACATGCTCTTTACTTTAAGAATTATCTCAAATTCTCTTTGATTAATAGACAAGCAAATATTATGTCACTTCATATTCACCACTTTAATATTTAACAAACTTCTTAGCAAATACTTAGCAATTATTGATCATACTCTTTAAACTCAAAATGGACAACATGCTCCTATACTTCACTTTACTGTTAATAACATTCATGCTCTGTACCACCAAACAACTAAAATTCTTGGCAAAATCCTCAACAAGTCATAATAGACATTTTGGCATGCTTTTCTAGCATAACTTATCAAATATTGATCATACTTTTTAATCTAACAATCATATAATTGTCATGCTTCTTAAACAAATAGCCATGAACAAATCTTCACATTCTCAACCACTATAAATATACATAGATTACTTCTGGGCATAAATCAACATACTTTCTATTGTAAATTGCTCAATTCTACTCCAAAATTAATGAAATCAAATTCTACTAGTGCGTCGTACGATCCTGAGTGTCTGAGCCTCAAGGGTTCGCGAGTCCCGGTCCAAAACGACACGTATATGAGCCACAAGGGCCCGACCACTGCACAGTTTTGGCCTAGTGGAGCTTGCGGCGAGGCTTGAGGAGGCCCGCCGCTTGGCTCCGCCAAGCAACGGCTCAAGGTCACGGCCCTTGCCTAGGGCCGTACCCTGAGGCCGCTTCTCCATGGGGCTGGCCAACGGCTCCTGCCTAGGGCCATTGGCTAGTCCCGTGAACTTGCCTGGTGCACACTGTCTGTGCACCAGAAGCTTTCTTTTCACTTGCAATGCAATTTCAAGCATTTAAACACTCCCAAATCCTCAGCAACACATCATAGATCAACAATAGATCACCTAATAGTTCAAACACATCAATATCTAGCATTTCTACTCATTTCTATATCTATTTTGACTTCACAGAGTCTATCAAAAGAGGTGGGAGTCCATGAGTTATACCTTTGTTGTTTCTTCTTCTCCTTGTTCTTCCCTCTTGTGTGGATCTCAGCCTCCACTCTACTCAAATGCTAC